CTCTAGCCTGACACATGGCTTCTGAAATATCTCCTCTGAAAGCTAATTCAGGCCCATGTGCTAAGAAAACCTGTCTCAACATGTCTACTTCTTCAAATTCAGTCACTGAGCAGAGGAACTCTACTCTCAGTAGGAGAGCAGAAAAGCAAAGCAGAGCCTGAGATCAGGCTTTGCATGGAATCCACATGCTGATAGCACTAGCATTGTTTCATTAAAGAGGAGTAAACCGTGATCATCTTTCTCATCCTCAAAAGTATGTCACTTAGAGGACTGCCACACGTCAGAAGCAGGTTTTCTTCTTCTGTCTGTGTACATGAATGTCCTTGTTTCTTACATAAGATTTCCCGTTGCACACAGCACATGCAAAACTCAAGACCCTACATGGCATGGAGGGTGGTCCTACTTATGGAAAAATGCACAGTTATACAAAACAGTCTCTAAATCCTCTGCCAGGTTATTCAAGTGTACTCATTCAGTATAAAACAGCAGTTCCCACTGGGCATATAATCTATGCAGAGAACATCTGAAATTGCTACAAAGCACTGAGTTCAAGTATCTTGCAAAAACTGCCCCAAAAGACTTATGGTTATCAGTGAGCAAATAAACAAAACAAATAATTTATTTGGCAAAAAGCTTCTGTCCCTAATAAGCAAAAAACAGGTACATACATCCAGACTTGAGGTTATTTCATGAAGATAGATATGGGCACAGGGAGCAGTGCTTTTCATGCTATTTCAATAGTAGATCAACATCCTAAAAAGAAATTAAATAGATCTTTTGTCTCATAACTTGAGTAATTTATACAGCTCCTACCAGTTCATTACTAATTAATTAATTATTTGTGAGATTTTTAGCTCCTCCAAACTTCAAGCAGACTTTTAAACAGTAGTGAATGAATTCTAGAGGTCAGAGGAAGCTTTAAAGTCATTCCTAACCAATAGCCCTAAAAGAAGACCAAAAACCTCCATTTCTTGACAGTAATGTTATTTCTGAAGTGTAATATAACACTGGAAATCAGTATTGTCAACATTGTTCTTTGCCACTCATTTTTCAACTGCAGCTAAATGAGGTTCCCCCAAAAAAATCTGAAATACTTTATTTTTTAAATTATCATACTAAGCTGGTATCTAAGTTGGCATATATTTTTGTGAAATAAATTCTTAAAGTTCACAGAGGAAATATGCTGTTAGGTCATCTATTCCCTGTCAATGACAGAACGTTCCTCATGTTACGTTATTCTCTAGGGGTTTTTTGCAAACTTGACATCAAGTGATTAGATTCATGGGGCCTCCAGCATTTACTTGAAGAATCTTAAGAATCTTTTCTACCAGTTTCCATCAATCCATCAGTCAGGAACATTTAAAGAACATTTAAACTTTATTTTAACAGCTTTTTAGTGTTAGTCTATTTCTTCCATTAATAATCCAGGGCCATCAGGCAAGAGGGCAAAGATTCAATGGACTCTGGCAGACCAGGAATGAAAATGGAAATGTCAGGAACTCTGTTGTGTTGCAGGAAGAGAGGGTGAGGTGGTTCTTTGGAGGTGGTAAGGCAGAGGTCACTTCTTCCCACACACCTGTTCACACAGGTCCTGATGCCCAAGTTTCTTTCTGTAAACCAATACTATTTTACAATTTCAATAGGGATGATGGTGGAGTTGTACAGGAAAAGTCTGGATATCTTTAGGATCTACATGAAAACAAGGCAGCAATCACTTTTCTGCTTTTCTTGTAGGGGCATGTGTCAGAAAACTCTTAGAGAGATTGACAAATATGGCTTCATGTGCTGAAAAACAGAGACAGTGTTCAGACACCCGTAAACCTGCACTACTTTCTGTTGTCACCTATCTGGGTACTACAAGCTGTGGCCTGCTCCATCTTTGGGGTAGGAATCGTAGACTGGAAATAATAGTACCATCCTGTTCTGCAAAACACTTTTACTCACTTGTCTTCACTGCTGTTAGGCTTTCTTTCCTCTTCCTTCTTTTTTTTTTCTTGATATTGCCTTAATGTTGCTGTTGCTGATGCTGCTGTTGCTGATGCTGCTGTTCTGCTTGAATGAGGAACCAAAAAGCATATAACTTTTCCTAGTTTCTCTACCTTTTTTGCAGTTTCTGCACAATCAAACTGATGGCACAGCCTCCAAAGCAACAACTCTGGGCTTTCCATTGGTGAATCTTGAAGATGCAGTACAAACACACCACAAAGAGAAAGAAAGGAGTTTGCCTGTAGGTAATCTGAACTTTTCCTGAGTTAATTTAAGCTGACGGGAACTGGTTGCAGTGTTTGAGTGACAGAATTTACCCTGTACAAAATGGGAGTTGGTGTAGAGGAGAGGAGCACCAGAAACATGAAAATCTTTACTAAAGATGAGGAAGGATATCCTGTTTGGAGAGAAAACTATGGAATAAGCCCTGCTGGCCATATATGTTTTAGGTGTTTCTACAAACAGAGAACTGCAATGCATCATTGATTTGATTTTTTTAAATAGGGAGATTATGACTAGTGTTTTCTGCTTCTAGTGTATTTGGTTTAGTGTTCCCTACTATTGTTATAAACTGATTCATGATTTTCTTTAAATGTGAACTTAAAGAGTCTCTCTTCTGCTGTGTTCCCACTTGCTTTTGGCTTTGTTTTGGTTTGGGGTTGGTTTGGTTTGCTTGTTTGTTTGTGATTTGGGGGGGGGGTTGGGTTTGGGATTTTTTTTCTGGTTACACTCAAATACGTTCTACTCCTAAGTGAAGGCAGTATTATACTCCTCCTCTCTCTCCAAATTAAAAAGTGGCTCTTCTGAGTGTCACTCCTTGAGGAAGGTCTGCGCAATCTGTTGAGGATTAGGGACACATTGTGTGCAGGAAGAAAATTGTCAGGGTTCAGATCAAAGTCGGGGTGGAGGGGGGGTGGAGGGTGGGCAGGGAAGTGAGGAGAAAAAGAAATCACCAAGCTTATCTCAGAGACTGCAAGGCATCCAGCTCCTTCTCTCTTAGGGCAATATGTATCTTTTCCCCACTACTTTCAAGGAGTTGAAATAACTATTTGAAACATAAGAAAAATAACTCCTCACATGAGGCTTCAAACAATACTGAGATTTAGGCACGCATCGTTCCGAGCTGAAGCCACAGGAAAATATTGGCCCCTTTTTTAACCTCTCAGACTGTCAGCAAATTCTTTGCATTTTCTGTTTCAGAAAACCCTACAAATAATGGACAGTTCCTTTCAGAAATTGACAGTAACACCCCACTCTTCCCAGGTTTTCAGAGCTAACAGTAGTGACTGGATAGATGAGGCCATCACGAGCCAGAGACATCATCGGCACAGAACACTCTGTTATTTATTTAGACTCTGAAAAAGAACCTTCTTGCTTATTTTCCTAAAATAATTAAAATGCATCACTTAAGTTCCGATTTGCTAAAAAAAAAAAAAAAGGCGTGGGAGCATAAATGTTTTGGCTCTGAGCTGACAGTAAATATATCTTCACATGATGTTTTTATTTTACCATTTCCAATGCATCTATCCTTCCTAGCCCCTTCCCCTCCCCCATTAATTTCTGAAGTGTCTGAAAGAGCCCTGGAGCTCACTGCATTCTCTCTCCCCTCTTTACGGCGGGATATCAGATGTATTACCTTCCCCCTTTGCATGCCTGGTGACGGGACGGAAGAATCGATTCAGCCGGTGTGTACGGGTCCGCGATGGCACACTGGACCAGCACGGTCCGCGTGGTGCGGCCGCGGAGGCACCGCTCAGCGGGGGCGAGCACGACGGAGGGCGAGCGCTGCCACGGGGGCCCGTGTGCGCTGCCGGCGCGGAGCCTCCCCGCAGCGGGGGCGTCTCAGGCAGCGGAGCCCGTCGCCGCTGAGCCGGAGATCGTGCTTACCCCCTGTCTGAACGGGTGTCTGGTCCGTTTCGGGGTTTTGGTGCTGATTTGTTGATGTATTTTTTAACCCGCAAAACAGGTCCTAGGGGCGTTACTCCAAATTCCTCCACTGCTTACTGGCTACACCAAGATAGGAGTTTCTTGGATTAAACTAGGGAAAAATATATGTACACGTTAATTTCAATCTTCGTTCCCCTCGAAAGCTCAGAAATGTCCGTTATTTTGCACGTTGTGCAGAGAACCCAACTTAATATTAATTTAAGAAGGGTAACTCCAGAACTACTGGTGATGCTCATTTGCAATTCCTACACACTGGCTATTATGTTCAGAGAACTAATCCGACCTTCCCTTGAAAACAGAGCTTTCACTTAGCTCGCTGCGCTCCTCAGATTTCCTTTATAAGAGAGCCGTTGTTTTGCTGGGATTTTATGATTTTTAATAACATTGCATAGACATTTGATGGCTCCCAAGACGTGTGTAGAGCCCTTTTCTCTCTCTCTCTCTTTTTTTTTTTTTTTTTCTTTTTTTTTTGTTCTGGCTTTTTCTGTCCTGAGCCTTGGGAGTCCTGCCGTGCTCCCCTGGCTGTCGTGGGACGCGAAAGTTGTGAGCACCCATGTTCCGTTCCTTCTCCCTGTTAGAGCTGTCGGGGATGAGCACCAGTCCATAGGCACTGCATAATGGCCATCCCTTTTACACCCTGGATCGGTGTCCAGCCGTGGAGCACCGCCGAGGTTTAATTGCATTCATCTGCTGGCATTTGCTGAAAGGGTGAGTGATATGGGCTATGCTACACACCAGGAAATTCCTCCCTGGGAGAGCTGGCAGTCCCTGTCCCCTTAGGCAGACACTAAGTCGGGAAAAAATCAGGCAGGGTTTTCTTTGGCCTCTAAACTCAAAGTCCTGAAATCCTGAAGCCGCTGACATGAAAAGAGCCCTTGACTCTGCGACCCCTTGCAAACCAAGACGAAAGAAAACCCAGAACTCGGTGCAACAGACCCGGCCCATCCAATCACATTTTCCCAGAGCACCCAGAGTACCCGAAGGTAAGGAATGACCCAGCCGTCCAGGGCCAGGCCAGAACTCGTTTAGGCCGGGCCTGAGTGGCTGGGGCATCTGATGGTCGCTAGTAAGACGCGTTTAAAGCGTTTATTGGCATTATGGCAATACAGTGCACGGTCAAAAACATTGCAAGAAGTTACAGGCTTGTCCAAGACAGCCTTTCCCGCCAAGTCCGAGGAAGAAGCTCCAGATCTGCACGAAGTTACCCAAGGAATGAAATAATGTTGGCCATTTTAGTGGGTCTTAGTCCGTGTCGTCCTGTCTCTCCCACTTCGCACCCGCCTCCCCCATCCTATCTCCTGCCCCAGGGTAGATTTTGTTCCCTATGATTGTTCGGCGATTATCGAAGAGCCTGACTTAACCTCGGACACCTGCCCGGGAGATTTCGGGACCGATTATTTTATGAAGTACTGTCCCTCGGATCCCTGAATCGACCAGGATCCAGATTTCACGGCAGCATCTTGAAGCGCTCTGATGGCACCTCTGGCTCTCGTCAGGGCTCTAGCCCATTTGACAACGCAGCCTCTCCTTCTCCCGAGGACACGATGGTCTCGTGTTAACACTCCAGACAGCCACTTCTCCGATCTCTCCCTTCCAATCCCCACTGCCCCACTGCCCAGGGTCTCCCCTCCCCCACCCCACCTTCACCACCCCATTTTCCTTTTTGATTCAAGAGAACAAAAACCGGTATTTGGGTTTGCCAACACACTGTCCTGCTCTGCTTTTGCATCAGGACTTCGCAGACCTCATTCATCACGGATCCTTCTCCCGGACAGTTCCCGCTTTGACTGTCAGGCTTTTCTCGTCACGTCACCTTCTTCCTCCACAGATACCTAATCAGGGAGAGAGCACATCCCAGGCACAGCCACAAGCAGAAAAGTCCGCCCACCCCCACCTTCCTGTGCTCCCTGCGACCGCCCTTCAGGTCCCATGGCTTGGGTTTCCCAGGACTCAAGAAATACAGGAATAGAGAAAAGGGGCCCACCGCTGCAGGACCCGGTGCTAACACAACTTCCCCAGGTCCCGTGACAAATTTCCCCACGCATGACATGACAGCACCAGACATCTTTCTGATGGGGCTGTTCACATCCGTCCCCGCCAAAATATTTGCAATGCTGGAGAAGGATGCTGCTCAGAGAGCTAATGGCATCTGAAGGAAGGGGAAGAAATGCTGAACGTCTGGTTAGCAGAGAGTGGAAAAAAAGAGACATCGAGGAGTGGTTTTTCAAGAGCTTCTAAAATAAAGCCCCTATAGATCACCATTTTTTCTCAGAAGAAAGGTAAAGGTATGAAGACGTCTATTTAACTCTTTTATTACTGTTTCTAAAAGCAGGAAAGAAGGTACAATCTGTAAGACATGGCTCATGATTTAAGTGATAACTCATCACATCAGTTAGTAGCTTTTCAATTATCGACTACTGCAAGATGTGCATGAAAACATTACCAAAAAAAAGAAAAAAAAAAAGAAAGAAAAAAACCCAAAAACAAAAAACAAAAAAACAACAACCTCCAAAAAAAACAAACGAAAAAGGAGCTGCAGTCCCGAACTCCCGCGAGTCAGAGTGTTTAATAACTAACTAGGCTCAGCTCTGTGTGTCTATGTGTGTTTGTATTTTCATTGTCAAAGAATAAGCGTGTATGTTCTTCACATGTTAGATTTCAGTTTCTCGTTCATTTCGACATTCTCTAACGACCCATCCCACAAAGGTGTCTAAAAGCACCTACAGATTATCTGCCATCTCTCTACTACTCTAATGTGACACACCTACCTACATTTTAGGGGCAAATAATTTGAGACAGATTTACAGTTCAACCCTCTCAGCAGACAGGAGGAGAGGTCTGTGTGGAATATAAATTCAAGAATGTAATTCTTTCTCAAACAAATAATCTGTTCCCTTTCAAATATAATTAATGTTTTGATAGTCCATTTCTTGTGCGAGAGAGATACAAAAACAGAGGCAACCTCTTGAATCTCTGTTTGTATATTTTCAACAGGAATTTACAGTACCTATCTTGTGAATGTGACAGATAGAGTGTTTTAAACATTTAGAATTTTATTTATTAGCAGAACTGCAGCAGGAAACTGATAGATCCTTACTATCCATCGTGCCCATTTAATGTACGTTTTTGTTGCAAAGGAAATTGCAGTTGCAGAAGGAGGGCATTAGTCTTTCACTGGGATGAGAAATGTTTCCTAGCTTTCAGGATGCAGACTTCTGTCCTGTTGTACTCGGGAGGCACATGTCCTTGCGCTTTATCTTTCATTCCCCTCTCTCTTCCTTCCGTGGGGCTGAGCTACGTCCCTTTTTTTCTCACATAGGGGGTTAAGGAAAAGAGTGGGAACATTTCGGTTTTGACGGCCTCCAGCGTTCAGACTGGTCCGGGAAACGGTGTGTTTCAAGTCACATAGTCTGAACAAAACCATGTTTGAATATGCCCAGAACATTCGTCAGATGTTTGTTAAATACTGTTATATGATTGCATGGATCATTAGTTATAGATCTGCTACCAAATCCAACGGGGTTGAGTTATCTTTTTTCCCTCTCCTTCACCTCTCTCCCTCTCATTTCTTCTCTCTCTCTTTCCTTTCTATCACTGGTTTTGGAGGAAGGTTTGCAAAATAATTCTGTCACGCTTCGGGAACACAGAAATCGTTGATATTCATTCTCAATGCCCACATCGTTTCTAAAGCACAACACAAAATTGTCTAGGTTGAAAAAAAAAAATCAGTGTTTTAATCCAAATGCTACAAATCCTGGAGATCGACTTGAGACCAAAGCCATATGGATACTCATATCCGGTTCATCAATGGCCAGATTCCATGTCCACAAGTATCAAAAGTAAATTTCACATTCGTATCACTGAATTGGGTCCCCATTGTAACTATAGCCTACTAATATATCTTGCATTAATTTTCCAGTATCAAGTTATTTTTGAAAAATTGAGTATTAATCGGAAGAGTGGAGAAACTTTAAAAAGCATTGGTTTACAGATGAGGTTGGCTTGCCTCACCTCACTTTGCTCTAACGGGCATTTTCAAAGAAAGGGAGGACACACCTAAAAATGAATCTTCATAGAAAGAGGCAGACCTGTAGTCGGTGTGAAAGTCTTCAGCAACAATAAACATTAGGAATCTGCGTCATTACTAACCTTAAGAAATATTCAAGGGACATAAAAGAGTGGGGTTTGCATTTTCAAAATAGTGCAAGGTCCTCTAGTTGTACAGGAAACAGACCTTGCTATTCTGATATGAAGTTTTTAAAAATTAAAAAATACCTCCAAAATTTTTTATTTTTCTTCTGAATTTATAGTTTCTGCATAGACTATTACAGACCCACAGACTGTTATCTCCCTACACAAGAGTAATATAACTTGGATTTGGAGAATATAATGTTTCAACTCCCTTTTATTTTTATTATATATGTTTTCTGGATTTACCTTTACTAGAAACTGCTAAAATGTCTTTTAAATACCAGAACACTATGACAAAGATAACCTTAGTTCAATACAAAGATACCAACCTCATTCACTGAGATCCAATTAATTCGATGTTTGCCTCCAGTGATCTGCGGAAAAAAAAAACCAACCACACCAAAAAAAAGAAAAAAGTACAAACAAACAAACAAAAAAAAAAAACCAAAAAAACCCACAACCAAAACCTCCCCCCAAAAAAAACCAACCAAAACAAATTAAAAAAAAAAAAAACAAATAAAACAAAAAACAAACCCCACCAAAAAACCCAAAACCAAACCACAACCCCCCCACACACACATACGGAAAGGGGGGCGACAGACACAAAAAAGGAAAATATTTACTGCATTGATCTGATAATATTTCGGGAAAAGTCAGATACACAATTTCTAAGTATTGTATTTAAAAATAATAAAAATAACTTCGACACCTCTGGGATGTGCAACTGGTCTTTTTTTCGCCAAAGGCTAACATTAGGGACGATCGCACTTACGTTCAGAAAATATTGTTATTTTTCTTAATGGGGAAAATTGGACTCCCGCGACTTAGATCTGTGGTTTTTAGAACTGGGATGGAAATTGGACTGACATCACTTTGCACTTTAACAATCGGATTTCGTCAGGGTACAAGTTGTTTGTTTAACCCGACAGCTCCGTGCACCCCGTCGCACGCTTTTACACACTCATTAAAACGATTATTCACGACCTGTCGAGTGTTTTCTCGTTCATTCACAGGAAAGACTTAGCGCTCTAAGATTCAAGAGCATACGGTCAGCTATACCACTGGCCGAGGGGAGAGATTACTTATCTCTGTGATCATCTGCTGCGAGGCCGTCTTATCTCTACAGGTTGTAAAGCAGCAGTTCCTGGAGGTAAAAGAAGGAGGGGAAAAATCCTCCCCCCTCCCCGACAAAACTTGCCTCGAGCAAAAGACGAGGAAGAGAACGGAAGAAGGGCTCAGCACTTGCTCAGCACCGTGCGTGGGTCCTGTTCCCGCTTCTCACCCCGTGGCTCAGGCTCCCGCGGCGCCGCTCCCCGGGCAAGCGGCGGGTACGGCGGCAGGGGCTGCACCCCGTGGGGCAGCGCGGCCGGCCTAGGCCATGGCGAGGGGGCCTTCCCTCCCTGCACCTGGCTCCGACACCGTCCCCCACCAGTTTTCCCTGGTCGAGAGCTCGCTCCCCTCTGCCGAGCTGCCTGTGTCAGCACAGTCGAAGCGGAGGGGGGGAAATATTGATAAAGCAGAGCCCTCTCGGAAACGGCTGCGAAAGAAAATGCGAATGTCCTGTCGAAAAAATTGCTAAAAAAAGAGATGAAAATGTCAGCCTTTTAGGGTCCTTGGAGGGGTTGGCTGGGAACCAGGCCGTTTAGCAGAGAGTCTGGGGCAATTCCTTTTGGATCGATTAAATCACTAAGCAAAAAAACAACTTAAAATATCCCCTGCTTTGAGGACTCTCATATTTGGATGCCGATCCCTCTGTTTGTTTTGTTTGGTAGGCTTTTTCTGTTTAATATATTGATTCCTGATTTCGATATTCAGATTACCTGCATCTGTGGAGATTACATTCCATCTATGAGGAAACCCCAGGGCCCACTCTGTTGCTGGGAAGGTGTTTTACAAGAACAACGGAAGCCAAGGGCCCGGAAGGCGAAGGACGCATCAAATCCTGTTCAGCCTCTGTGGATCCAGAAACCTATTTTTCATTTGGAAAATATCTAAACATAATGCCCCTTTATTTAAATGAACCGACCCCGAATGCAACAAGGGATTTTAATCTGAAACGGCTTCCTAATTGCTCGAAAGGCAAGCACGTATAAGTAATTTGTTAAACTTACTGGATTGCAATAATCCACTATCAGGTTAGCTAAGAATGGATCTGTCAACTGTGTTTCCCAGTCTAAGCTCTTTCTTTCAAACCAATCTGGTAAAATAATTAGCAGACAAAGAACTTGAAATATGTAAGAAAATACCTAAAGATCTGCATAAATAAACATACTAATCAATAGCAAGCTACTCAACACTTGTCTTATTGATGAAGAGACAATCGATTTTGCTGTTCCAACCTGCAATCAGAGATCTGTATTTAATTATTAGTACTTTTACCTTTACTGATTTAATAATGAAAATAGGGCTACCCTTCCATCTAAACGCAAATTATAGTGATGGCATAACCAAAGGCAGCTTATGCTTCCCAGCACAACAAACAGCTTTGCTCAAACAAAATAAATAAGCAAGAAAGAAAGAGAATATGCAGAGCGGCTTTTTCTGATTCATGCTAGAGGACACCTTCACAGTCAGAAAGGACTAGACAAATATATACATGCATATACACACACGTATATATAGAGAGAGAAAGAAAGCGCGCGAGAGAGAGAGATAGTGGGGAAAGTTCATTGATAAAACAACAATGCCATTTTTATTTGCATAATTCTCATCTGTTTTCTCATAGACCACTATGAATGTGGGTATACAAAATGCTAATAAAAATACCCTTTCCATTTTGTACCACTGTGAGTGTGATACAAAATCTAGACTGCATCTTAAGTTTCCTAGATGCACTAGCCATCAGAAGAGCAGTTCAGAAACCTAAAAGGAGATTTACTTATCGCTAGTGTATTTCAAAGTTACCTATAAGCCATAGCACTAAATATATAGATGATTATGTGATGTGCTTAGCCGTATCCCCCCATAGACTGCTCTAATAATCTGTCCCAGCTTTGTTTCGTTTGGGGTCTAGTGAAAAGTCTAATCACTGCCGTCATCCCCACTTGGAAATATACTGGTGTGGGGATGCCAGAATGTTTGAGTGTGCAAGGAGCATAAAAGGAGAAGAAACGCATCTTCTAGTATAGCATCACCAAGATTTTTGCTTCAAAAGAACAATTTTGTAATGAGTGAATATTATCAGTATTTAATTTGCAAAATATTGCATGCTTTTGGGACATATCATGCTTCACAATGAGGTTATGTTTATTTTTTTATGAGAATGCAACTTCTCTCTCTCTCTCTCTCTCTCTCTTTCTTTTAAGCTGTTTTCTAAGGCTGAGAAAGAATTTCTCATTTTTTTTACTCTACAGCCAGGCTTCAGCCAGATTTTTTTGGCAGATATTTATCTCCTCTTGGATATGATTAATTTAGCAGGCTACCTAATATTAAATACTTGCGATCAGAAAAATTCTGAGTAAAAGCAGAGCAAGCAAGGTGGGGATGTGGGGACGGGGGGAGACGAAGAGAGGTTCTCTTCCTTCCACTAACCAACAGCACTGGGCTAACACTTAGCTTGGAGGGCCGCCAAGTTAAAGGGGAGCTCGGTAAGGTCTTCCCCGCGGGCCGGTCGCAGCAAACCCCATTCCTCCTCCACCGTTAAGGGAGAGCTGCCGGGAGCGGCCTGAAGGGGAAGGGCTCCGTTCACGTGTTCCTACCTCCCTGTGAAAGATGCTCTTGCAAAATCATTCATAAAGCGCTCTGAATTCCCCACCGTGGGGGGGGGAATCAAACCAAACCAAACCAAAAACAAACAACCAAAACCAAACCAAACAAAAAACCCAAACAAAAAAAAAAAAAAAAAAAAAAAGAAAAAACCAAACAAAAAAACCCCAAACCAACCAAATATATCCCACAAACAAAAAGTCGCCAAAAACCCCCAAGAGAGGTCAGGCTTCGTCTTGCCTTTATAGTTTGAAATTCAGGTTCCCTGGTCAGGCGGCTCCGGGCTTGGAGAGTTTTCACCTCTCGGTCTTAGGTTAAGCAGTTCTTTGCAGCTAACTTTGCAGGGATACTTTACTCACCTTAGGGTAAGGTGACAATGGCAGGTTTTTCTCAGACTCCCTCTCGTTTAGTCTTTCCTCTCAAATCACGGATAACCCCAAATACACTTGGAGGACTCCCTAGAGATAATTCTTTGAAATGGACTTTGCATTCATTTCCCCGACTGAGAGCAGAAAAGCCGCTCGCTTTAAGCCCAATTCGCTAGCCTGATGCTATATTCTGTTACAGGGTATTGAAGAGGGGGAGGAGGGGAGGTTGCTAGTCGTTTCTTTGGTTATTTATTTATTTTGGCAGTTTAATTTATTTTCTTTTTTTTTGTTTTTCAAGTCTTTTCTGGGTCGTTTTGCCTCAGTGGAGCGAGAGGAGTGTTTAGCGAGCCTGATCCTGGATCGGAGCATCCTGGGCCAGTTCTTGGGAAGAGGACTTTAAACGCCTTTCCCTAGGGCAACCTCTGTCTCTTAGTGGCTAGGAGAACAGAAAGCTAAGTCTGCGTGGAGAAGGACACCGCATATTTTTCCTCCTTTCTGAAGGGAGGGAGGCGGCACGGACTCAAGCACTCCGAGTACAGGTGCCCACCGCCTGCAAACCACCGTTTTAAGGGCGGGAGGGGGTTGTCGGGCCTTGGAAGAGGCCGCGGGTGAACAGGGCTGTTTCCCGGGGCTCCGGGCGCTGTGCAGCGGGTCCCGTGGCCCGGCGGGGCGGCTCTCCCGCGGGGCAAGAGCGCCCCCAGCCCGCGGGACGCGCAACGCCGCCGCCGCGCCAGGCCCCCGCCTCGCCCCGCGGACACGCGTGTCCGGGCACGGCGGCCGCGCCGGGGCGGGAAACCGGGAGCGTCTGGCAGAGCCGGTCCTTGCCGTTCTGGAGACACGCCAGTGTGGGTGCCGCTCTCCGCAGCGTGGGGAGCTCCACCCGTGCTCTGCGGGACCCACGGGACATCCCCGGGCTGGTTTGAGCCGGGCAGACAAACCGCCAGCGGATCTGTCAGAAGTCACCGCCGGCGTGCGCTGTGCGTGTGCGAGTGCGCGTTCCCGTGCGCGGGTGCCGGTTCCTGCGAGGCGGGGGAAACAGGCGCTCGGTACCGCTGCCCCCTGCGCTGGGGTGTCCCACGCACAGCGTCACGGAAAATTCAACTTGCTGTATATTAAAAAAATTAATTATTTTCGTGAGGTCAAAAATTGCAAGGAGCAAAGGGGTCAAAGTTATCCGCCGGGTGGGACACGTGCCGTGGCTCTTCCCCTGCACCACGTCGGGACAGCAAAACAAGAACAAGTCGGTCCACGGAGGGCCCGTCCCGGGTCCTGCCCACGCACCCTCGCGCCTGCCCCCACCCACAAGGATGAACACGCTGAGCACATCAGTTGTATCAGTCGTTTAAACTTCCGCCCCTATTCCGAGATTTCGGTTTGCGGCACGTAAATCTCCACGCATACAGAAGGCAGTTAAGGAATTTGGGAAGTGGGAAGACAAAGGGAGAGTGTCTGCAGCTCTCCCATGAACATGAACGTTGCCCGCGATGGGTTGTAAGGGAGCAGTTTCTCCGCCGGAGCACTCAGAACAAAATCCAGCTCAGATTTAGATGTACGGCTCTTTATCGATCTCCTCGATCTCCCAAAATTTTTGGCATTTAGTCGCTTCCTTGAAAATTTAGGGATATTCGCATTCTTTACACAATCCTGAAAGGTGGGAGAAGCCTGTAGCTTTTTCTCAAATGACAGGCTTAGATTTTTTTGGAAATAATTCATTACGGAATCCGCCTGTTCTCATCATACTAAAATCGTCTTTCATATAGCAGAGATGGATCAAGGACCAAATTTCCTCCCGCAATGAGTAGTGGCGGGGAATTTTGCCTAGCCCCGTAATATTTCTGCGCTGTGACAAAAAAAGGCAGAGGAGGCTCAGGGATCTCCTGGAACCGCACTCTCCCCCATCCTGGTACCAGCGGACAAAAATCGCGCGTGTAGTTACTTGATTCCTGAGGGTAAAAAGGAGTAAAATCCGCACTCACCAGGTGCCGACGGAGGACTCCTATCCCCAAGTGCCAACGTGCGTCTTTCTTGCAGGTAGAGGCAGTTTCTCCTGGAATCTTAAAAAGGCAAACACAACATTGCACCCGTGTGACTTTCTCTGACATTAGTGGCAAAGAAACAAACAAAGAGCACGTTCATGAAACAAGCTAAAATATCTGCAGGTTAACCACAACAACTGCTAAACCGGCGAAGAAACTTCTAACTTACCGATTGAAACGAAAGAGTCCGAAGGGGAGGGAGGAGGGCGGGGGAGGAAACACTTTGAGGAAGAGACCAAAAACAAAACAATAAAAAAGGAAAAAACAAAAACAAAACAAAAAAATTTAAAAAAAAAAAAGGAGAGAGAGAGAAAATCCTGACAGTAGGCACACTCAGTTTTGGTGTAACTGGTGCTTTGAAACTGTGCTTCGGTTGCACGGACGATCTGCTTATCGTGGGGCACAGGGAAACAGTACATTTAGACAGAAGTCTGTCATCTCTATTCATTCGTATCACATGGATCTGCCTGTGGGGAGAAGAGGTAGGGAAGGTTTTCTTGAAGTGCACCTACCCTTCTGGCGGGAAGGCTTGCTGGGATTGCTGGGCAGGTTTCTTCTGGAGGGTCCCATCTCTCTGGAGTAGCTGCAGTGGAGTTGAGGGCAGGTTCTCCGGTGAGGTAGGAATGTGCAGGAACTCCGCCCTCTGGGCACAGTCACACAAACCCAGCAAAACACACAGCCAGCCCTAAAGCCTCCATTGATCTTCACCTTCACCTCTTTCTAACCCAATTCTCCACCACTTTTTGACCCATTTACCCAGACACCTTCACCATTGGGAGGGGAGGGGGGGTATTCAAAACAAAGACATTTCACTGCGTAGAACTGCAAAGGAATCTACTCTAGACTCTAGTGCAATGGATAGACACCTCTGCAGGGTTGTGTGTGTCTATATATATGTATACATATTTATTGCCAACCGCTGAATTTTTATTCGTGTAGTACGAATGCGCATATACTTTCTCGGGCGGGTGTATTATCCGCGATCACACAATTAAGTGCAATAGCGGTGATTATCTACAGGCAGATTTTTAGTTTGTTTGTTTGTTTCCTATCCTAAGGGAAAATACGAACAATTAAAGAATATAGTCACTAATAAAGCAACGAGTCTTGATCAATGTTCTTCCTTAAGCAAAACTCTGATGTGGTTCAGTAAAAATGTAACCGGACTTCAGTGGGAGTTTTGCTTGAGTGAATAGTGAATACATCGTGATTGAGACCTCATATTAACACAAGTGGTGAGGGGGTGTGTACCTGAATCATGATTTCTGACATAAATCTTAATAATCGACCGAAGAAGTTATAAAGACCAAAATGACATTCCGGTTAAACTATTTTTTTCAAGTACCAGATTAAAAAAAAAATCACTCCCCCAAACATTAGTTTTGTGCCATTTAAGGCAAATCATATTTTTGTTAACTTTCTTTTAAAACCTTTCATAAGAATACGTTCCACATAGCGGATGCTATTTTACCGTAACAAAAGAAAAATATCTAAAATATGGCAAAAATTGTTAGGCCAAATATCACGTTGAGAATTCGAGTTACTGTTTATTATGCCTCAAACATATTTCCGAAGGCAATCTTAAAGCCGTAATTGGATGTTTCTTGATGAGCAGATTTCTTCTCCTACGATCTGTGTGAGCAAAGTTAATCACCTCAAACATCAACTAGGAATATAACAATAGCTCTTTAATTCCATAAAGACCGCCCGTCCCCCATAAACACTCTGAATTAGGAAACGCCAAGGAAACGACGCTAAGACACCTCATCATTATAGAAATGTGCATATTAAAAAAAATCCCGAAAGCTTATCTTCAGGATTTGACATATAAACCACCGCGGAAAAAAGGTATCAGAAAGCAGAAATACTGTATGCTAAAAAACTTAACCAACCAAAAAACCAACCACACAAAAAAACACCTACCCCAAAACCTCCACAAACAAACAATCCAACCAACCAACAAACAAAAAAACCCACAAAAGAACCCCCACCACCTCACATTCAGTACTGAACCAGCCTGTGCAAAGATTAACCTCGGAGACATCCTCAGCGAACAAAAGGGTTTCTCTGGCTGGGGAGCAGGCAGAGGTAAAGACATATTTGGGGCCTTAGCGGTCCTGCTACCATTCATGACAACTTTAGGAGTTTATTGGCTTTATTTTGGTTCGGTTTTGATTTTATTTTTTTCCTTTACAAAAATAATCTCTTTGCTGGCAATACATTTATGGAAACGTGAATAAATTACCAGCTCAGCAACCACCCCTGTGCCCAGTGCAAGAGAAAGAGGGAAAAGTCTGTGACACCTAAACTTGCTCAGGCAGTACTTTGCTACACAGAGCCTAGAGGAAGCGCTGGGACCTAGTGCTTGCTTAAGCTAAGTCTGGAGAGACAACATCAGGGCTACCCTTCAGAGGAATTATTATGCGTCACGCTTTTCTAATTAATGCTTATTAGCCAACCTCAAACTCTGACATGGCGGGATTGTGCTTTCCTCCAACCTGACTTTCTCCTTTCAGTACAGTGAAAGTAGATTTTTTTTTTTTACATTGCGAACTAACTAATACTTTACGTATGTGCAATTGGATTTCCTACAGTATACAGCAATTGCAAGTGGTAAATAATAAATAATTTCCTTTGTCATCTGCAGTTGATGCCGCTTTTTTGATTTGCACAAGTACACAGAATTGGGTCTCCGGGCGCCAAGAATTTAAATTACACCTATTGCGTTTTATTATTTCCTATAGGTTTATTGCAAAGGAGTTTTGGGTTTTAGTTTTTTTGCATTACTTGTTTTAATACAATTGAGTGAAGAACACGGGGGAGGGTAGGAGCTTCCAAGTGGTGGTATCATCTCTTCATTCCCCAACAAAGCGATCGTTTCCTCATAGTGATGATTAATTTTGAATTGCAGGAGTGAGAGTGAAAGCCAAGAATATCAGAGGTTTCTCTCCTTCTCCTCCACACAGTGCAGAGCTGGGGTCCCATCTCTCATCCGTAACCTTTCAGTCCTCTCTTTCCTGCAGATCTGCTTGCATCTGTTTATACATTACTTATTTTCGGGAGATTTTCCCTTCCTCCTCTTATTCTTTTAGCTTGACAAATATTCTATTTGCAAGAATTCAGATTTGCTATTGCTTCTTTGTTCACCTCCCGGCACTTTTTTTCTCTTTTTCTTCCTCTTTTCTGTCTTTCCAAGATAAGCTCTTTAAAGTGTTTGCGATAACATCTACGACCTATAGATTGTTTTTCATTGGGCCTATTGTGAGCAGTCACCGACTTATTGCACTGCCGCAGAGCCCAGTCTAGGCTTCAAACGTAACAAATGAACAACTTGTCCTCTGCGGTCTCACCGCGGGATCCAATTAGTTCCTAAACCGTTTGCACAAGTTTTTTAATTATTTTCGAGAGTTGCGGCTTTTATAGGCTTCCCTAAACTCTTCAAGAAACCAATTCATTTTAGGATTAAATGCTTCTTAAAATTACTAGCAGCGTTGCTCCCTTAAAACTAATGGATTGATTCTCCAGGCAACGCAGCATTCTTATGGACGCTGGCATGGGTTACTGGGCTTCAGCAGACACTGAGAAAAAAAAGAGCTCTGTTTAAAAACTTTGCATTTAAGTGCATCCATAGAGGTTTGATTTGTTTCTTTTTTTTTTTTCTTCATTTTTTTCCCTATAACGTTTAAACATCGGTATGCAAGGCAGGGTGTCACGTGACTCCCGGCCCCTGCCTCCTTGCCATGGACTGCAACTTCACCTCACCCTATTCGGTTCCTGCCCCCTCCGCCTGGCCGAAGGCACAGAGGAGAGAGCTGTCTGTCCAAAAGAACACCGCTACTTTCACAATAACTAAAACCAAAGTGTTTGCAGCATCAAAAGTATATAAATACATATAACCTAGATACTTCCGGAACAGTGTTCCTTTAAGATAAGGATTATATTTTATACACATACATATCACAGCTTGCTAAATTTCATCAAACGATCATATGATAGTTAATATGTGTGTGTATATACACGCACATACACATCCTTCGTTAACATATCTCGAGTCATCGTAGAGATGAAATTTATTTCTTTCAGGATAATAAGTCTTTGAATGCATTTCAGAGATTGCAGGAAGAGCATGTACCTATATAATAATTCACCTTGGATTTTTCCGAATGTGTGCTTATACACTTAAATTGTATATGAATGTATGTATATATACATATACGCGATTTTAAGCATCTTCAGCGTAAGGCAGTTTCTAAGTAAGACATCCCACCTTGTACTATCAATTTTTAAGCAGACTTGATAAGAGTTCTGTCCCAAAATGGACATCACAATAGTGACCATAATGTTTAATTAAATATTCTGATCTTTTACATTTGAAAATACTGTAGTTAAAGACAATGGCAGAGAAGGCGGGGGGGGGGGGGGGGGGGGGAAGAGAAAGGAACATGTGAAAAATGGTGGACTGTGTAATAAGCAGAGCTCTGATCTCTCTGTAACTTTCAAGCCTCTGCCACATTAGGGTTAACAAAAGAGACAAAAAACTATCAAGTATATATGAATTTAGCCTATTTTTTTATTTCTGTGTGTTCATAGTAAACATTTTTGTAAGTGACAAACACGGGCATATGACCACAGTATCACAATCAAGAAATTTTAAGACGACATTAACAATCACTCAAATTTATGCGGCTTTTGCGCAACACAGGTTACATATTTGCAAGGTTTACCTATAAGTACAATAGGTATTAACATTTCACTACATTTAGAAAAAAAATAAAGGTGACCTGTTAGTGACCACATACATCAAAATATACACAACACAAACTGAAGGCAATCATTAATTTTGTCCCCTTCTGATTCATTTGAACGGGCAGTGCTGCAAACTGAAATAATGTTGCTGTTTTTTTAAATTACTCCGTACACTGAGTGCATTTTCTAGAACCCAATCTTTGGTCTAAAAGTAAACAAACAAATAAAAAAAAAAAAAAAAGGGAATGGAACCCCAAAAAAGCAGTTCGGTAAAGAAAATAATAAAATAATAAATGGCCAAAAGTAGTTCTTGGGCATCTTTCGGTATTAATTCTGCTTAAATACAAATTACGTTTTAAGGGTTTTTTATAGTTTTCATAAATTTAGTTTGGTTTTGGTTTCTTTTCTTTCTTTCAAGGTCTGCACCCACCGACATATCCATGATAACTTATAATACTGCAAACATGGAGAATCGGGTGGCTTTTAGTGATAGACTTATCATATTTGAATAAAAAAATTGCAAAAGCAGTCACTATTTAGATACACATTCTACTATGATTTTGTCTTCCAAACTTCATAGACTACAATGCAATCTCCCCACATTGCACCTTGCTGACACTCCTCACCTTGGTGGAATAATAAACAACCCTAAAGACTGAACAAACGTACAGAAAAATGGGGGACTTAATAAAAAATACCTGGACTTTTTTGTTTTGCTTTTTTTTTCTTTTAATTATCATTTACAATGCAAATGTGTGTAAAATGTTCACTTACAGTCTGATCCCATGGATGTTAATGTATTAAAGGGTTTGAAGAAGACCCCTGATTTTGATGTGTGAAATAATCAGAAAGTCCTCCGGAAAGTCCCGTTGTAAAACTTGGCAAAGAAGGTCTTAAGGACTCACAGGGGAGAGTGGAGGGCGCCTGTGGCGACGTGGAGGAGGAGGCTGCCCTGGCCGTCATTGAAGTGCTGCTTTGAGAAGTCATTGAAGGGTGAGGAACATGGGGGAAAAAGTAACTCGTCTGTCCTGCTAGGAGATTTACAGAGCAGGGGTTTAGGGAATAGGTGCCAGAGCAGGGAACTGACAAGCCACACGGCACTGAGGCGGCCAGAGCTGCTGCTGTGAGGTGATGAGTGGCATAAGGTATCTCTCCATTGACTAGTCTATCAACACTTAACCCATTAGACGTGGAAAAGGAGTGGTTGTTTCCCAAGGAGTTTTGAGTCAACACTGAGCTGTAGGGCATGGGGTGGCTGGGGTAGGCAGACGTGGTCCCATTGTAACTCAAAGTGCTGCTGGCCCGGGGGTGGTGCAAGGAGAGGAAGGGGGACATAGGCCAGTACAAGGATCCTGCCCTATCCATGAATGTCAGTCCGGTGGAGGTGAGCCGGGCGCCCCGCTTGAAGGCCAGCTTGGCCCGAGAGGTGGTGGAGCGACGGCGAAGCTTGCCGGTAGTACCCCCAATGAAGACGTCGTCGCTGGAGGGGTCCAGCATCCAGTAGTTCCCTTTGCCCGGGTCGTCGTAGTGGCGGGGAACCTTGACGAAGCACTTATTGAGGGAGAGGTTGTGGCGAATGGAGTTCTGCCAGCCCTGCTTGTTCTCCCGGTAGTAGGGGAAGTTCTTCATGATGAACTCGTAGATGCCATTGAGTGTGAGGCGCTTCTCGGGGCTCTGCCGGATGGCCATCATAATGAGCGCGTTGTAGCTGAACGGCGGCTTCTCGTACTTGCCGTTCTTCTTCTCCCCCTCCTTCCCGCTCTCCCCGTCCTTGGCCCCCTCCGCTGCCCCCTTCTTCTCCTCCGCCGCCTTCTCCTTCTCCTCCAGCTCCGCCGCTACCGCCGCGCCCGCCTCGCCTTTGCCCGCCAGCATGTCCGCCTTGGCCACCTCCAGGGCGCCAGAGGCGGTGGCGGTGGGGGGCGGCAGGAGGTGTTGCCCCTTCTCCTCGTCCTCCTCCTCTGCTGCGGCCGCTCGCTGGGGCTGCTGCGGCGGCGGGTGGTGATGGTGGTGATGGTGGTGGTGGTGGTGATGGGGGTGGTGGCTGTTGTGGTGGCTGTGGCTGCTGTGGTTGTTGTCGCTCTGGACGGCTTCGGGCACCAGGCTGTTTATGCTAAAGGAGGATTTCGGCAGCATTTTCACTTCCTTCCTATCTCCCATGTCCAACATCACACACTGGTCTGAGGGGGAAAGTTGCGGCGGCCGAGGGAGCTGCTCGCGGGGCGGCGGCGGAGGTGGCGGCCGGAGCGGCGGCGGTGGCCGAGGCGGCGGCGGCGGCCGAGGCGGCGGCGGCGGCCGAGGCGGCGGCGGCGGCACCACCGGCAGCGGCAGCGCAGTTGGACCGCAGTCTCAAGCACTGGCAAGTCATGTAGCACAGACAGGAACCGCCGGGGAGGGGAAAAAAATAACAGTCATAATAATCACCGATCAGAGAAAAATCAAGCCGAGTCGGAGCGGAGGAAGAAAAAAAAAAAAGATTAAAAAAGGGGAAAAAACCCTCTGAAACCCCCCAAAAAAAAAAAAAAAAGGCAACAACACACAAACACACACACACACACCAAAAAAAAAAAATCTACTTCATGGTGCCCGGTTCCCCCGGCACCGCAGCGCAGGGGGAGGCAGGAAGGCGCAGCAGCCGCGGCGGGCCGGCGCGGAGCGAGGCAGACGGGCGCTCCAGCCCGCCCCGGCCGCAATTAATTTCAGAGCTGCCGGCACGCACCGGGGCTGTAAAACATTTTTTGGTTTAACCTTTCCCACCGGCCGCCCAATCAGGGCCGGCGGCGTGCGCGCGCGTCTGCCCGCCCGCCGGCCAATGGCGGCGCACCGACCCGCCCCGCCCCGCCCCGCGCCGCCCCGCCCCCGCCGCCGCCAGGGCTCCCGCCGCGCAGGGATACCGGCGCAGGGTCGCATCACCGCTCCCGTGCGCGCGTCCCCTTCCCCCGCGCCCCCCCGCTGCCGCCGCCGCGGGCACAAATCCTGGCACGCCGGACATCCCGCGGCACGGGCCCGGCCTGGCCGCCCGTGTCCCTAGATCCTCCGGCAGACCAAAGTTGCCCCTTCCTCTAGCGGCGAAGGAGGCGGGGTGGGAGGCCGGGTGGGTGAGGCGAAGCGGCATACCGGTGGCGGCGGAGGCACTACTTTGCGGATCTAGCCGAAGTCTCTCGGCGAGTTTATTTTCCCAGGCCCGGTTATTTCTGTTTGTTGTTTTACCGAGGGAGAAAACAAAACCATCGTCCGGAGAGGACGCAGGCGGCGGGGTGGGCCCGGGGTCCGGGTGCTGGACGCCGCTGTCCGCGGCCTGCCAGGGAAGACAGGTCTGCTCCAGCCCGCCCGGCCCGTGCCCGCCGCGCTCCTCACTGTGAGTTGGAGGGCTCGGGAACGATCGGGCACTCTCCTCCCCTGCGCTCTCCTTCGTGTCACCGGCGGCCGGAGCCGGACTCCACGCTCCCCGCTCAGCCCCGCGCCGCTCCCGCTGGGGCTCCACTTCCCCCGCGCGGCCGCCGGAGCCGCGCGGGGCCGTCGGGCTCGGTCCGTCCGCTCCTTCGCGCGGCTCCAGCCGGGGCCGAGCAGGCCGCGCTCCAGGCGTACCCAATAAATACTGACACCGGTGACCCGTGAAATATACTGTGGTCTCTGCCGGCCCGGCCCGGCCCGGCCCGGCCCGCGAGGTCTGGGTTCCGCGGGGTTCAGCCTTGCTGGCGAATGGGAGAGGGCGGGCGGCAGCGGGCCGGGTGCTCACGGAGCAGGCGAAAGGGACTGGCACGGCCGCTTTCCACCAGTACACGCGTTGGTAGAGGCTCGGGCTTACCGCCACAATTTGCCGGGAGGTTGGGTATTAATCGTCCACAGCACATCATTTCTTGCTGTCAGCATGGGAACAACAAAATCAACTGGGAAACAAAGAGAAATACATCGCGCAGCTTTCTTACTCGGGAAGCAAAGGGGGGAATGTAATGGACAGAGAGCGTGCTGATCGCATTCAGACCGAAGCTGTAGGCAAACGTAGCGCCGCGTTAAAGCTACTTAGTGTTTGTGCCGGAGGAAAAGATGCTCCGTAGAAACAATACGTGCAGCTCAACTGCAGCTAAAACAATTTATCCCGAGGAAATTCAGGTTAGAGCTCAGTGCAGAGAACGTGGTTGTGTGTAGATGTGCGTTTTATATACGTATTTATGTATGTGTGTGTGTGAGGGAGGGAGAGCGAGTGTAAGAAAGAGAGAGTAAATAACGAGAACAAGTATAATGGACCGGTAATAAACAATTGCAACTGGGAATGGCATGAACTTTGTGCATTGGATTAACCTCAAATGACCCTACCACAATTGTATTTATTTAACCAATTTCATAACAGGTTGCTACTGACACACACACACAAAAACTTAATGATCAACAACCACTCTTTTTCTCTTTTTTTTTTTTTTTTTTTTTTTTAGAAATACAAGTTTGTTTGGTTTTTTTTTTTTTAATCCTGTCAATTTGTAATTATTTCGTGTCTCAGCACTGAAATCAAGGCATGGGATTTCTTGAAGAAGAAGGCGATGTGGAGGACATTAGATGACTCTACCATGGCAAGGGGTAAGAGGAAAGGTAAGCTTCCTGCGTATTATTATGATTATGATGATCATTAACTAATATGTGTCATTATGGTGCACTAGGATCCCATTAGGGTGGCTGGGCCCAGTGCGTTTTCCTACTCGGTCTAGCATGTAATGATTCCGTGTAACCAGAGTCTTGAGAAAGGACAGGTTACGTAAACATTTACTGATGTGGAGTAACTATACTATTTGTACTCTGATATGCAGGAAGGAAAGTGTTGATTAACACAGAAGAAAAAAAAAAGCGAAATTAGCTGATTGCATGCTCATAAGTGCAAGCTGTCATTGAACTGCTTTTAAAATAGACACAGCTGGGTGTTTGTGTTGAAAAATTTCTTGTGTTTTTGCTAATACTGAAATAAGCATGATTTTGTATACCAAACATTTTCAGATCATTAAAATTTGTAATCTGTGCTGGTTTTAAACACAAAGAAAAGAAACAGATTCATTTCGCTGTAAAATTTGCTGATATTATATTAACTCAATCAGGTCTGTACAAATGGTGCAGTGTGCCTTATCAAATCTCTTTGATCCTTTTAATACACAAAGTGCCAAACGTGTGTATTGTTTGTTAACATTGAACATTTTATTCAAATCCCAGCTCTGTAGTGAACTGGAGGAGTTCTTGTTTAATGTAACACTGACATCGCTTGTTGAAATTTTAATGCCTTGAGGTGTTTCTTAGGTCAACGCTGAGTTTACTTTGCGTTGTGATCAGGGATGAAAACGTAACAGGGAAAAAAATAGAAGTTTTATCTTTTTTTGCATTTCTGAGCAAAAGGCTCAGAAAGAAGCACGCTCTAAAAACATCTGATGATCTATATCCAACAGTCGGTCATTTGTCATGGGTGCAGAATAAAGGTCTGTGCACAAACTTAAGATTTATATTTTTTTTAATGGCATGGATATACAGTTCTACCAAAAAAGGAAATGTTTTGTCCAATACGTAGTACATATCTTTCTAAGTCCATGAAGATTAATTCACTATTTACAGGACAGAAAAGAATATGTAAGAGAAGCCACGTCAATTATTATTTCTGCTGGACTTTAACTTTCGAGTTCTTTTTTTTTTTTTTCTCTTCAGCAGAAAATTCACCGTTTATAAAACTGGAGATATTTACTTTGGAAATAGGGGAGTCTTGCTTTAACGCCAGTTCCTCCCGGAGTTCTGCCCTGACCACGACTCCCCTTCACTTTGGTGGTACCTTTATGCTTTGGGGTACTTCAGTGAGCAGCAGGTTTGACCCCTCAGCTCTGGCTGAACTCAAACTCTCTTAAGAAAGTTCGTCATGGCAGCATTTTCTAACAGGGAAGGTTTTGTAGGGTGTCTGGAGAAGAAGCTTGTTCTTGGAACGGAGGCACACGGCCCCAGCCATTCAAAACACGGGTGGGTGTGCAGAGGGGAGCCGGCTCGCTGCAGGGTGTGGATGCTCCCTCACCTGTGTGCTCGCCGGCACTGCGGATCCGCCGAACCGAGCGGCGGGGATGGGCTGAGAGTATCTAACTCCGGGGTTAGGATGGGGGTGAATAGCTGAGCTAGAACGTCCTGGCTGAAGTGCCATTCAACAGCGATCTCCGTACAGCTCTTGGGTATAACTCGTAGGGATAGTGTTTCGACCACACACTTTTATCCTTTTTTTTCTTTTTTTAAATTCTTGTTTTATTTTTAAATTAAAGGCCAAAGGAAAAACAGTCCCTCTCCATTGTACGCTCAATGGATATAGCATACTGCCTTTGCACGTCCCCCTTTCCCCCGTGCCCCAGCTCCAGCGTTCAATCCCCCTTCACATGGGTATAGTGGCTCTGTACTCTCGGGCTCTTTCAAGGGGTTAAGCTGCTAAAATGTACTGACAGCTTAAGAAATGAATGAGGTTTTTTTTCAGCCATGAAGAAAGGGTATTTAATAACCACGCTTCGATGGCATTATGCTTCTAGGAAACGAGTTGGGACACTTTGGTTTAACAATCAGTAATATCACATTCCTGACAGTAAATGCCTCGATGTTCGCATATATAATTCTATTCCCACTTGACTATAAGCTTGCCTTATTTATTCCAGGTTACCTGGGCAATTAAGGTAAGGGCTTCTCAGCAGACACTGATACCCTGCTGCTAAGACATGGCGAATGGGGACGGAGCAGCACACTAACAAAGAGAAAGAGGTAGTCAAACATTTTGAAGAGGGGTGAATGGGACTGAAGGTGGATGGATGGATGAATGGAGGCAAAGAGGGAGAGGAAGAAACATTCAATGGTCCACATTTCTATCTGCATTTGTAGATTTAAGTTTAGGTGTCCGCCTCTAGCCAACTTCCAGTTAATCCTCAACAGCTTCTAGTGATTAGAAGTTAGTCTATTTAGCATGCCGTATCCTTCTTCCATGGGTTTTAGTTACAAGTTACACGATTAGGATTGCGAGAACAGTAGTGAACTAAACTTCCCAGTAAGAGGTCTTCACACCAGGGAAGTGTTACTTTGCTGCAGCAGCCCTGCCTCGTCAGTCATTAGGAAGCTGCAGGTTGTCAGAGGCTTCTCTTGCGCGCACACAAGCGCACACACACACACACACGCACACACAAAACCACAGCACTAAAACTAAATTAAGAAGCCGATGATTAAGACAAGCGTCTACAAGGCCTGTCATTTCAGCATCTTTCCATCATAACATTGTGGCACCGAGAAATTTGCTTGAAAACCCTGGAAAAAAATGTCTATGGGAGAGCCTCATGTTTGAGGCTGTTAATATCAAATATAGACTGGGAACTGCCTCGGATGCAAGATAGTATTCCACAGGGGAAAGGAGCACTGCAGAGACCCTGGAGCTATCCACACACTCCCGAAACTCTGGTAAGTATCTCTACTTCTTATTGCAGCAGGTAGGCACTGTGTGACTGGAACTGGACCGGGTTTGAAATCCACAGCCATGTACCCTTTGGGGACTTCGGGGAACTCCCTCTAAAGTTAGGGGGTGAATAATAGTTATTGGCACTCGGTGCGTCTTTAAGGAGAGCAGCTCATATTGTGTCGAAGACCTTCCAAGCACCCTTTAAATACAAACATTTTAAGTTCCCCTCCCATGCATCCCCATCCCTGTTGTTTTCGGGCTAGTGGCGTTGTGTCTCTCCCCTTTCCCCTCCCCCCCTTTTAGCTCTCTAGTCTTCCCTCCCCCCACCCTATTCAGTACTAATTGCTCAGTTACTTAAATGTTACAAGAAGAGCTAAATTTCTCTATCCGATGATCTTTTGAGAAGCTGCACTGTACCATAAAGAACAGTCAGCGCATCTGACTGTTAGATGAGCCAGCGCATCTAGGGAAAAGGTAGCGTTAAAACAATGACATTAACAAACTAAGTGCACAGAGTTTCCCTCCTGTTGAACTTTAGGGAGTTTCTTGGGCGGGCAGAGATTGAACGGAGAACGTGGAAATGGGAAACAATGGCTGTAGGGTCCAGAAAGCTTTGCTAATGTCGTAAGCGAAAACAAGACAGAATAGTGACAGAAAGAGATCCGAGTAAACATTGGAGTATACATTTCCCACGGCGGCTACGCTGGGTGGAGAGGTCTGAATTAAATCGCCTTCATTAAAAACTGAAGATTTTATTTATTTAGTCCTGTAGA